CACACACACACAGATCGAGCTGCTCTTTCTCTGTGGATGAATGTCTTTTTCTGGTTTGGTTTCTTATACATGGCCTAATTCTTTGCCCTGCTTTGCAACGTGGGCTGTCTTGTCCATGAAGTAACGTCTGTGGGTGGCCACAAGTTTTTTCTGGGGTGGGAGTTTGGGTTTTTGGCCTGTGTTAGTCCCCGGGCAGCCCGGCTGGGGGAAGGTCGCCTGGGTACCCCTCCTGGGCGGTCCAGGCCGGGCAGGGACCGGGCAAGGTCCCGGACGATCCCAGCGCATAATATTAAAAAAAAATAAAAATCAAATGCGACGATTTGGCTCCTCGGCAGGACTAAGGGGCCCCCTGTTTACAAGTGTGCCCGCCCTAAGTGAAGGCGGGCCTGACAAATCTGGAGAGGCCCATTGCTGTCAATTTCGTATTTGGGGTTCAGGCAGTTGTGTCGCGTCAGTTTGTTGAGGGAACCCAGGCCACAAGCAAGAAAACTTTCCACGGCCTTCTAGGCCTTTTCGGAAAAGCAGCCCCTGGGCCACATCTGCAGCAATATACACAGGCAGTTGGGAGGCGTAACCGAACGAGGCCCAGCAGCGGCAGCAGAGGCCCAGCTACCTGGGGCCTACCGGAAACTTCTGGGCACAGGCCCAGCCCAGCCAAGCCGCAGGCCAGGCCAGACGCTTTCCATATAGGAAAGAGCTCGCTGCCTGGCAGGGCATTCGGGCACTTGCTAGGTTGCAGCAGCGCTGCTGGAGCGGACACTCGCGGGCTGCTGCTAGCGCAGAGCAAGGTGCACTGCACGTGCTGTCGTGTAGAAGGGAGGGTGCTGCTGAGGGCAGCACCATAGCCCAGCTTCCATAGCTGGCTGAGGCTTGGTGTTACAGCAAGGGGTAGTGGTGGTCTTCGTGCATGAGGGAGAAGACGTGGGAGACAGACAAGGGAAAGAGAGTGAGAGGGAGAGATGAGGATGATGGCATTAGGGCACATACCTCATATTGGCAGTAGTCTGCATTGGGCGACATCTTCATCTACTTCGGTGGCTGCTGACGTCAACAGTTGCATTGTCAATTCGTAGGCAGATAGTAGCTGTGTGGGAGTAGTCTGGGCGCCGAGCGCCAAGTAGGGGGAAGGGGCTGGACACTTATGTTGGTGATGACGAGAGTAAGTTCTCATTGACATTCGGATTCAGTGTTTCGATTCTCCATTGGTGTAATATTGGTGCAATGCTGCTTTCTGAACACTGTGGTACTTTCTGGCTTTCAATGTGATTGTGCATTCTGGATTCTGTCATCTCGCTATTGCTCATTTTCCTTGCACAAAAAAAATCAAAAAAAAAAAAGTTGTGTTAAATTGCAATGCAAACGACTTTTGGCTGAGGGCCACCTCGAAACTCCTTGTTAATTTTAAGATAAAAATAAATGAGAAAACATGAGTCCAGATATACCCTTTAGTCACTGTTTATACCCCCCAAGCCCCCCTGGACGACCCATCACCAAAACCGAAGTTAAGACCGGATTCTGACTGCTTAGGCCAAGCGCAGTCCTGGCCTGAAGTCTTTTTTTTTTGGTGTGGGTGTCATTCCTGCGGGCTGCTCTTTCGGAGCACATGAAAGAATGGGGAAGCTTCTAGGGTGTTTTAAGCAGTAGCGCTACTTGTCCCGCGTGGAGATCTTGTGGAATTTGGCATTGTACTCACAGTAGCCTCACTGTAGCACTATGTGATGACCCGACCAAACATGAACTGAAACACACGGCTGATTTCTGAGTTTTGCTCATGGACTGAATGCCTTGCTGAGTTTTCCACTTGCTACTAAGTCTGTGTGTGAAGTAGCAGGTAGGCCGGTACCACACCCTGAAGCGGCAGATGTCCCGGGTACTGGACGCCAAGCAGAAGAAGACAAAAGTGGCATTTTTAGAGGCCCAGTAGTTGTGGGCCAGGTCTAGACGGTTACCAGTCTGAGTCTAGGGCCTGTACGGGCAATATCAGAGTCTGCAATGATGTTTCCCTCCGAAAGGGAGGAGGTACCGAGCAGCCTGGAAGTCACCGCCCGAGAGGCAAGCAGGCCGCTATTTCGAGGCCGGGCGAGGAGCCCAGCCTCATTGTCGGTGTGCAAGTTTGGCGACACACTGGTTGGAGCGCTGGCTGGAGCAGCGCTGCTGTGGAAGAAGCAAGAACTTGGAGGAGGAAGAAGGACGGGAAGGGGGAGGAGCGCCAGAGGTACTTACCTGGCTATGGTGGCAGCCATCTTCATCACCTTGGTGGGCGCTGCAGCAGGAAGGCCCTAGCTGGGGTTGAGCTACACCAGGGAGCTTCGAGGCAGAGTCAGGCATGGCGGCCTGAGCTAGAGCAGCCATAGCTGCTTTGGGTTGTCCTTTGAACATCTGGGGAAGGCCTAGTAGTCCGCCATAACCTCGGCCTATGAGAGTGAAGAGTGGGAGAGGCGGCCATGGGTATGGTGGACCTCAAGTGATACCTGCAGTAGGAGAGGGATTCGGACTATGATTCCGGTTCAGCTATTCAACATTGTATTATTATTTCTTGTGTGAATAAAACAGTAGGAGATAAGGAGGAAGAGAGGGTTGAGCGAGGAAGAAGAGCTTTATCATTTGTCTATGCTGGTGTACATCATCTTCTTCTTCTTTCTCACTTCTTCTTCTTCTTCTCACCTTCTCTCTCCTCTCAAGTTCATTCATTTCTTTCTGCAATTGGATGGCATTGTGTACTATCTGATGAATGTGTGCCTCAAAATTGGCCAGGATCATAACATTGGTATCAGAGCGGATTCTACTTGCTGGTGTGAGTTGACT